AGCAAAAAAATCTTCTCTTGAGGAGAAGATACAGGAATTTCTGGAACTCCACTCTTTATCTTCCCCAAACAAGGCAGTGGAATGGTCCTGGTCTTACTGTTTGAAGCACCCCTGTTGGCTGGCTATCAGGTGCAATTTATGTTCTACTTCTTCTACTGGATGAGACCTGACATTTTTCCTCATCTATCTATAAAAAACATTTTAACACCACAAAAGATACATAGTCCTGCAGTAGCAAAACCAGTCCTGCAAAATATGAAAGGTTCTAGTCCCTCTTGGTCATACCTGCATGAAAGATTCTCACCTTATTTTTATAACCTGACAGGAGACTGATTATCTCAACAGTCAGAAAACTCTGCCTCAAAATTTCCAAAGATTCAGCATCTCAAAAGACTGGGCAACCTAAACACAGCCATGGTCCCACCTGCTTACACCACTGAAATAATGCAGCCCAGTTGATGAATACAGTGCATAGTGCAATTTCTTAACAAAACTGTCCAACAACGTAGTAACATGGGGACTTTGCCATGCATGAACAAAGGTGAAAAAACAGAACAGTAACAGACTTGCACAGGTTGACAAGATCACGGGCTGTTCTCTTGCAGCAGGATACCTGATCAAGTCCATTTATCCCAGCAGCTCCAGTTTCAGCTAACAAGAGAGCTCTTTGACCAACATGAGGTAGCCAGATGTCAAATCGTTTAATATCAGGAATGAAAGTTAACTTGCACGTGCTCCCCAGAGTTATCAAAAGATGGACTACTACAGATACCTTGTCAAAATTATGACTGAGGGAGAAACTTGCTCTCTTGGGCTCTTCTCCGCCACAAAACAGGCCAGTGAGCAAAAACCCCTGCTAGGTTTTCCCATTTAAAAACCATTACCATGTAACTGCTAGCAAAGATGAGGCTGAACTGCAGTTTGTATGCACTGCACTGCAGCACGCTGAGCTGGTAACACCAGCACTGCCACTGCTGCTTCAGTTATGAACTGCGTGGTCAGTGCGAATAGATTCAGAAATGCTAGGCTGCAGCATGTAACTATTGCATGCTATATATCACACATTGCCCTACAAAATACAATGTGGTTATTCAATAGGTGCCAAGTATTTTTCAGATTAAGTATTCTAAACATTGTGCTTACCATGGTTTACCATAGACATTTCTTCTACAGCATGCCTTTGCACATATCTCACTTACAAGACCTTACTAGAGCTCTGAGGTTTTCATTGTTATTATTAGTTTGAATAGTGGATAAGTATTTTGCTTCTACACCCCCCCTCTCTGAAAAAGCACGGATCACAGCATATATACAAACTGGGAAGGAGAAATGCTGCCTCTGTAAAATTATGTACCCAATACTCATGCCTACTTTAAGAGTAAATCAGATGAGTGACACAGGAACCATAGCATGATTTTATCTCCACATGTAACATTACTGTTCATGGTATCACTGAAAGGAAAGCCATAATTAGAACATGGAATGAAAGAGATCTGAGCAGGTCCAGAGAGCATGCACAAACTGCTTCAGTAATTAAAGAATTCACACTGCACTCTGTTTGCTTCAAAACCAATAATCAAGTTATATGAAGGAAGTTAACAAGAGCTGTAGTCTACTTCACTTACTTCACGTAACATTTTAAATAAAATATTGATTTAATAATAAAAAAGGAGGATGAAAATTTTGAATCTTTTCTTGTTTTTATGAACAATGGATGATGTGACGAAAGGTATAACAACTCCAGAAAACAAGAGAGAAGGAAGAACAGTCACTTTTACTGGGTGATAAAAAGACCCATAGACTTTTTGAAGATTCTTACCTTATGTCGTTAAAAAGGATTGTATTGGATTTCACTCTCCTAGTGTTCCTTTCTTACAAAGCATCTACATGCTAGCTTTTATTAATCAGTGCCATTATTACAAGTTAAGCAATTTTCATTGCTTATTTCCATTTCCCAAGCTTGTCCCCTTCATTCAGTTGATAGAAACCACCTTCTCCTTCTATTTGCATTTGAAAAATCTGGATCTGGATAATTCAGACTTCAAAATACCTTTGGGGAACAAAAACTGAGAAGCAGTCTGAAATGATGGCAAATGTTGAATTAAAGCTCTGAGTATAGTTATTGGTCTTTCAGCTTTCCAGGTATTAACATCTTTGCAAAACACTAAATATAATCTCAAAGATACTAAATTTATGTTTCAAAGACAGGAAATTCCTGTCTGGTTCTGGTTAGTTTATTGTGTTTTCCTTAGTAAGGTGTGAAACACATTACATTATAGGTGTTCAAAAGTGCTTCAAAGAGATTACATTCCTAATATAAATGTGAAAACCACTGCTGGCTGAATATAGCACTGCATTTTTTCTAATGCCATTTTTATTAGAAGTTTCCAGACAGTGCTGCAAAGCTTAAAGTTAATTGTATCCCATGCTTTGCAAGCTTACCTGTTTTAACCTGAATTCTATTCTGTCATGTTAATAATGTGAAATTGTTATACTGATAAAAATACCTTACAATAGGGCACAGGCCAGAGACATTCTCATTAAAACAGAAGAATTGATTCAACGTTCATAGCATGATTTAAAACAGACCTTGGAACATTTTACTGCATTAAACAAAGCCTGGGTTGGCAAACTTTGCAGAAAAACAATGTATTTCCTTCACATTTGGAAACTGCATTTCTGGCCAAAACCAGCATTGCATTTGAAAAGCTGCATCTCTTGTTTTCAAAAAAGCACCTCTAAAAGACAGGACAAAATGCAAGATGGAAGATGTTGGATACCAAAACGGAACGTGAAATGCTGAAAGGGAGATACCACTTAAACTTTCCAGAGCTGACAACTGTAAACTTAACACTGCAACAAAACTTAAATTTACATGTATACCAATGCACATCCATAGAATACAGCATCTACTTCGGAGGTGCTAACATGTTCGTGAGACTCTGACAAGCCCAGGAACAGAATTCAGAGGAGAAATACTATGCTCTGCTATCACAGATGAGTTTATACTGGAAAAATTGAGCCAAGTGAGGTAAGACATGTGCAGCAGACCCTCCCCCCTAAAATTATTCAGTGTTAGTTTCTCTAATTTAAGATGAAACAGAAATACTTTATATAAAACATTCAATGTTTGATTTGCATTATCCTATAATTTCTTGTACACAGTAGTTCTTTTAAGAAGGAAAAAAAAACCCAACTAGATTATAACAGTTGGTATGTGATCTCCACAGTAGTGATAAAGTCAAACAGACAGCAAAAGTTTTCTTTTTAAAAGAAAAACCTGTAGATACGCAATGTGGAAATGTCCACATATTGTTCCAGCGATTTCAAATGTAATTTTCAGTGTAAGCAAGGGAGGCGCTGTGGAGTCCCAGGGCGTGAGCAGAATCCACTTGCCAGAAACTTCATTTGGGCAGCAAAGATCTTGCATGCATGCAGAACGAGTTACTGCCTCCTGCTGCAAGCACTAGGACTTCACTTGGCAACAGCACTCGTGAAATTGAGTATAGTCAAAAAATATAAAATGTAAAGTGCATCATGAAAAGCACGTGGGGAGCATTTGGGGAAAGCGTGATTAAACATTTAAGATTATTTCCTTCCTTTGCCACTTTTATGCAGGGAAGACAACACGAAGCTTTAGACACTAAATGTGTATTTGCACAAAATACAATCATTGTTTATTGCAGAGATTTTCAAAGGGTAGTTATCTATTAGAATTTTTGTTATCATTATTCTTATTATTTTGGTTTAAATACTATAAATGCACTATAATGCGTATACAGGGAAACTGCTTGAAGATTGGTTTTCAGTTTAATACCTATTACTGCATGGAAATGGAAATTTAAATTAAAAATCTGTTTTGTCTAGTTTTTTCTGTTTTTCCATAGAATGTGTTTTACATTTCAGCTGAAAAAAGTATACTGCTTTTATAGAGCAACTACTGTTTGGCTATTTGAGATTAATTTGGCACAACTTTTGTAAATAACAGACATATTATCAGATTTTCTTTACTGATCAGATGTTTTTTAACTCTAGGTCACAATAATTCTTTGTGAGAATAAAAGACTGTTCTTTCATAAAATAATTAAAAACACTGAGGACTTTTTTCAACTAGTAAGAATATTAATTGGGTTCACAAACAAAATGTGATAACATGTAAAATATCTTGTTTTGCATGTTAATGCTTCGTAATTGCACAGAGCTTTTCAACTTCAAAGCTCTTTACATGAATTAAGTGGATATCCCTGAAGGCCTTAGGCAACATTTTCTTTGCCTTCAAAAAGAGATTTGCACCAGACAAAAGCTTTGTGAAAAATGCAGCACTGCACTTTGCTGTTTTAATCTACTGCCATCACATGTTGAGTTAAAATGTTACTACCATTTGGCAGATGGAGCAGTGGAAATAGAGGGGAACTGAACGGGACTATCCCTACTCATCTGAAAACTCTGTACTTCACCTTGGCTGCAGCACATTGAGTAAGTGAGAAACAAAATGTGAGATAATTCAGTTTTCCAAAACCATGTCAACATACCTTTCAATTATTTCTTTACTTCCCCACCAAAGATCAAGCTGCCTGGAAGTCCAGTGATTATCTCCTATTGCACTGCTCCACACACCATGCCTTCACTGAAGCAGTCAGGCAGGGAAAAATGCATTTGTTAGAATTCAGTCAAAAGCTGTTATCTGGTACTCCACTTTGCTTTGTCAAATGACATTTTAAAATGTACTTGCTAGAAGCAGCAAGTTTCCCAAAACCCAGGAGCAATGGTTATTCCCTTATGTCAGACAGACCGAAATCTATCACGAATCACCACTCCATTATTTTCAAACTGAAATTTCTTTTCACTGTCTTTTAAATCACGCTACAGATATGAAACTGCAATAGACTTTACAACCTATGAGCTAAAACATGAATATTTTTCAGCATCCTTTGCCATAATGATATTTTTGGTGAGTGCAAGTAAGATCAACAGGCATTCCTCTTTGTACTTACCATGTGATTTTTATGCCACTTCACTGGACACAGGGAGTAATACATTGGGTCTTTTTATTGCTCAAGTAGAAAGTGCTCATTACCTATTTATGTTTATATATAGGAAAAAAACAAAGAGTTATTTCAAGTGGCATACATCACACTGTCGTAGTGGTTGATTTCCTCAGGATGGTCTTCTGGGGTTTTGGTGCAGTCTGTGGAGGCACAGTCACGGATCTCGGAGGAGGAAAGCTGTTACTGGGACTTATCCCCAGCCCTCCATTTTCCAGAGGAAATGGAGGCAGCGGAGGTGGTGGAGGCGGCAGAGGAGGGCACTGCTGCGGCAGCTTTCCCACAACACGGGCAGGCTCACTGTGCAAGTGGACCTCCCTGTTTTTAATGTTATACCGACCATCACAGTCGGGGCAACAGCCATGGTACTGCACTTTTTCACTAAATCGTACCCGTTCCCTTGCTCCTGGCTGGGGACACCGCTCTTTCTCAGGTCTGTGCATCAGAGGCTGCATTGCAACTTTCTCCAAATTACTGTTTGGTATACAGCATATATCTCCGTTTGGGATGCGGTTGGGCCCAACTGGCAAGCCCCCGTTTCGCAGCAGGGTCCCATTAGTCTTGACAGGATTGGCCGAAGGAGGCAGCCTTGGAGGCTCGTCGCACTTGACGGGTGTCAGTCGCGGTGGAGGTGGGGGTGGGTTTGGCTTCCGCAGCACGGTGAGGATAGCTGAGGGGTGTGCAGGCGGCTTGATGAGTGGTGTGCTGCCCCGCACCTTGACTTTCTCCAAGCTGGAAGCTGTTGTGCTGCTGGAGCTGCTGTTGAGCGTGTCCGTTTTGGAACTGTCTGTCATCTCATCCTCCAGCTGCAGGTCGGATGTCAGCGTGTCAATCTGGTCAACCACCTGCACAACAGCCAGAGTGAAAACAATGAGAAAAGCTTGCCCCAGTGAAGGCGTAGAAAAACAAAAGCACTGTCCGCTATCAGTTTTGTCCTTCCCAGAACTGAAGCATCCAAATTTTTTTGACCATTATTTCTTTTTTCTTGCCAACATAACAAAATAATAATAATAATTAATAATAACAACAACAATAATAATATAATTATAATTATAATAAGGATGGCCAGTTTCCTACCTCATCACCTGAATACAAAAGAAATATAATTTGAAACACTCTGGAATGAGATTCTGCTTCTTTTCCTCTAGGGTTTACTTGGCAATATCATTCTAAGTAAGTGAACTATAATCCTTCAATATTATGCTTTGCCTTCCACTGATGGAGGAGACTGAATTATTTAACTTTAGGTTCTACATGACAGCTTTTGAATCCAAATCTTCTGCAAAGTATCTTTTCGCTCTGACCTTTCACATAGTAGATTTAAAAATATGCATCTCTGTATAAGTGATATTATACACCCACAATCATAAGTTTGGTAC